AATCTTCCATGAACGGAGTTATCGTGTGCCTGCCCACGTTGAAAACTTGTTCCGTTTTTAAATCATTGTTTCTCTGGTTGGAGTTACTCGCACATGCGTGCGAACTTGAGTTTCGTCAAATCGTGAGCGATCGATTTATTTAGATCTTGTGAGGCTTCTGTGTTTGAGGGTGAAGACATTATTAATGATATAGTATACCTCGCTTTAAAGTGTCAATTTCAGAATTTCAGCCACGTGTTTCCTCAGTCGCGGTCACCAATTATATAAATCAAATTGAATCAGACTGCTGTCTGAATTTCCAATGATGGTGATATTAATTATGTCTGTCCAGAACTCCGACTAAGTGTGACAGACAGAAAAACACGGATAAATTTTCTTATAGACTCTGGCTCTGTTTCTCTCGATACTTCCAGCTAGCAAGTTTGCAACCGGACGTGCCAAGGAAGAGCTTGTTCTGTATGCAGCCAATTCCAGCCGAATATTCACCTATGGAAAGCGGACTCTCGAGCTGGACCTTTCGCTGCGCAGACCCTTCACTTGGCAATTCACAGTAGCAGATGTGGCAACAGCCATAATCGGTGCAGACTTGCTAAGCTACTACAATCTACTAATAGACCTGAAAGGCAAAAGACTAATTGATTCAACGACAGGCTTAGCCTCTGATGGCAAAGTGCTGAAGACCCAGAACATTAACATTTCCACAATTAACCCACAGGAACCATTCAGAAACCTGCTCAATAAATATATAACAATTACGAAAACACAACAGGCATTAACAATAAAACCATCTCCTTTTGCCCACAGAATTCCCACAACAGGTCCACCAGTTGCTGCCCGGTTCAGGAAGATTTTTGGTGAAAAAGCATCAGCTGCAAAAGCCGAGATACAAAATCTCCTGAACAGGGGCATTTTGAGACCTTCAAGCAGTCCGTGGGCAAGTCCTATACATATGGTGTCAAAAAGGATGGATCTTATAGACTCTGTGGTGACTATAGAAAACTTAATAAGTGATCTAGATTATCACTTTCACATATTAATACAGTTTGTAAAAAATTAATAATTGGAAACAAGCACCAAATGTCAGTAATTTCTTTTTTATAAAGAATAAAAAATAAAGAGTAATTAATAAATAAAATATTATATGAAAGTACTCGTGTATCCGAGACCAAAGCCAAACAATAATAGGCAATAATAATATAATATATATATATATATATATATATATATATATATATATAAAAAAATACCTTGTATTAAATCCATTCTATATTTTACTTTCACTCAAGGACCCGAACTTTTATTTCCTCTTTTATCAGTCTCAGATGTTCTCAACTCAACAAATGTTATACAACTCACGTCTCCAAATTGCATTTGGGCCTTTTATAACTGTTTTCATCTAGTTGAAGGCGCTTTCCACGATTTTGAATATGGTCAATAGAGTTTCTTTATATGTGTAAGTGCAAGTGGTGCTTTTTCGCTCAGATGTAATAGTAGGAGCGCCAGTGAACTATTTGACTAACTTGTTTCTCAATGCTAGTAATTTTTTTAATGATATTTAATAATAACAATTTAAATAACTGCAGCTAATATTGTGTTCGTATTTCCTATATCTAATATGTCTATGCATAGAACTATATAAAAGACAAAGTTAAAAATATAAATAGATATATTATAACATACGATTAATAATTTCGGAAAGCAGATTTTACAAAAAACTATTTCTATTTATTCCACACCGATTCTACAAAATAAGAAACCATATTTTCCACTCCGATCGAGCAATACAAATCCAAACTAGCTGTAAGTGGAATTCTGTCTTGAGGCAATTATGGCATCGTGCCTTAAGGAAAATTGCTGGAACTTCCCGTACCGTAACGAAATGTTCGAGGAATACTGAATGTTTTCAAATAGATTATTATAAATATTTTAACATTGTCTAATAGTTATAAGAATTATATAAACTGAATTGCAAAGTTGAAATTATTTGTAAAGTATATTAGAACTATAGTCAGAATTAAAAATAAAATCTGAATTATTTTCGATATACATAAAATAAAAAAAAAAAAAAAATGGAACAAAATTTTTTTTTCCAAAATCGATTATTTTGTTAAGACAAGCAAAAAGTTCTTTGAATCATTTGAATCGGACGCTTAGTTCTCTCAAAAACTGCCATTTTTCACATATTTAGCTCCGTATCTTCGAAATGGCTGCGCCTGCCTTTGCCAAAAACTAATAAGCACTTCTCCCAATCATTACTAATTGAATGTTTTTTAGATCATTCAAATCGGATACTCCGTTCTCTCAAAAAGCCGATTTCTATTTTCTGCACTCTTTGCTCCGTATTTCCGAAACGGCTGGACCTGCCTTTGCCAAAAACTAATCAGCTCTTTTCCCTATCAATAGGAATCGAATGTTTTTTGAACCATTCAAATCGGTTGATCCGTGCGCCCTAAAACGTGACTGGAAATTTGTATCCATACATACATACACACACACACACACACACATCCATTTTTTCTGAGGTATGCCAAAATGTTCAGAAACCTTCAAAACGTCGAGAAATGTAAAAATTTTCAATTCCGATTTTCGGCCCATTACAATAACTTACCCTACGGGAAGTTAAAAATATTTAAAAAAAAAATTGAAAATGATTTCTAAAATATTAAATTCTGCTGCAATAAAACGTATAAAACAATATGTGACTTATTAAACAGATTCGACGATTGAAAGAGTCTTTATATATTACGAGCAAATATTTATATTATTTCATTACACTTACTCTGTCGATTGTTTAATTTTTAATAATTGTTTTAATAAAAATTTTAAATTGATACTTGTTTCCCGAATTTTTATAAAATTTGCTTGATTTATTCTCGGTTGATCCATATGAAGAAAAATTTGAATTCATTAAATTGATATACGGTCTCTGAAACAAATATTTATTATCTAAATTAGATAATATCATACAAATCAATTAGCTCACGTGAAATTTTTAAAATTTTATACTGTTTAAGTAAAATAATAACATTTTATAATTGTTGAATATTTTAGTATGAAATATTTTAAAATATATAGCTTTTTACTTCTGAGAAATCATTATTTAAAAATTCTCGAAAAGTAGTTAGTAATCCATTTGTATATCCATCTCGCAATTCGATGAAGGTGATAAATTATTAAAAATGTTCTGAAAGCGGAAACAAAATTATGGCAACTAAAATTTATATTAGAACAACATTGACTTCTTATACAACCAAAAAAGTGTTCTAGCGGGTCTTGATTAAAATTTGTAGTGAATAGAAAATGAAACCCCCGGTATCACTTTTATTTTTTTTTTCCAAATGTGTCTTAAACTCTCTATAGTTTTTACCCAGTTCTTAACGCAGGGGGCTTTAGTTACAACAAAAAAAGATTTTAATTAAAATAATTTGTAATAATATAAATGAAAAGCAAAAATATAGTGTTTCGGGTCGATTTCAAGAAATTTACAACAAATTCTTTCGATGTTGTTTCAGAGGTTATAAATTTTGCTGACCATAGAATTATGACAGAAATAATGCAAATTTTACAATTATAATACTGTTTTATTATTAACTCAATACATATAAATGTGGCATTGTTGACTGCCGCCGCAGCCGCTATAGTTACCGCTGCTGTGGCGAATTGTCACCCCAGCCGCCGCCATTTTTACCGCGGTCTTCGCGTAGGCTTCCGCGGCTGCCGTGATTTTCCCCGTGGGGTTATTAGTACCCCCGTATTATCACGATCAGTGGGGCCCCAACTTGCTTCGTAGGACTCATCATAATGTAATATATATGTCCGTATGACCTTTTTCTTGAAAAATTTTACGAAATAGACTTCTACGTCGTGTCTGTATTCATATTCGACCGGCATGAGTGATAGAATGGTGTCGTCCTTTTTTAATTTGACGTTTAAATTTTGAAAACTAAGGCCGACAGCATTCATATCGTAACCATAGTGTGCATCGGATACGGCACACAGCCCAACCACATGGTTGAGGAAGGATTTCGCCCAAACGACATCTCCGATCTTCGCCGGCCGCGTGAATGCCTCCGATACAATTTTCTTTTCCTAAGAGGATTTTACCTCCCTATCTGTTAAAATTATTAGGACTTCATTGCGCGGGATTAATACTTTCTTAGAATTTTTGAAAAAATGAAAAAAATTTGTTCCATTTTTTTTTGTATATCGAAAATATTTCAGATTTTATTTTTAATTCTGACTATAGTTCTAATATACTTTACAAATAATTTCAACTCTGCAATTCAGTTTATATAATTCTCATTAATATTAGACAATGTTACAATATTTATAATAATCTATTTAAAAACATTCAGTATTCCTCGAACATTTCGTTACGGTACGGGAAGTTCCAGCAATTTGCCTTAAGGCACGATGCCATAATTGCCTCAAGACAGAATTCCACTTACAGCTAGTTAATGTGTTAAAATAAGACTCCACAGCAGCATTTGAATACAATTGTGATCTCTCATTATCGAGCATCAACCCAGACCACAGTGGCAAAATTGATACCGCTCCATAACATAATTTAGAAATCCAGGACAGTAAAATTGGTTTTGATAACCTTCTTTCGGTATGCTCTCTTCAGTTTTGAGTTTTATATTGAGGAATTCCTTGTAAAACAGACTGCTTCGTAAAAGACTTTGATTCGAATTCGCTTCCTTTTCAGGCTCTTCGTTTTTTTCCGAATCAGCGTTGGCTAAAATTGATTTTTCCAATATTGCATTATTATCTGCAAATTGAGAAATTTCTCTAAGTGCTGATTCTATTTCTATATGATGATATTCACTGCCTAAAATGCACACAATATTAGCGAATATTTTTCGTGCATAATCCAAATCTCGAGATTTTTCGCCTAAAAAGTAAATAATTAATTTTACGGCGAATATATATAAATCTCTATTGCCCTTAATAAATTTCTTTGCATGATACGATAGTCTCTTCGTGAAATGACTACAACA